TTTCCGACGGATTTTGCCGTCGGAAAAACCCCATTTTTTAGTAGTGTACGTTTCTCATATTTTTTAACTTTTATTCTCACCGGAACTCACACTATATATATATATATATATCATTATATATTTTTTACTCAGTATTCAAAATTTCAATCATGAGTATATTCACATTTGAGTATAGTTATACAATATCCTACAATGTTTACAACTTCTTGTTACATACTTATAAATTATTAACTAATTTTTTTGAATTTTAGAAACTAATTTATAACTAATTGATAAATATTTTCAAATATTAAAATTTAATAAATAGAAAAATACATCTTAAAATTCATATTATTAGAATACTCTCTTACTCTTTCAAAACCCGCAAAAATTCATAAAATAAAATTGAGAGACTATAATTCTCTGCAATACACTATACATTTCTAATTATTTTATAATATGATTTTATAAATAAGACTGTGTGTGGTCAATTTGTGTAACAGCATATGTAAATTTTTTGAAATAGAAAAATAGTAAAAATCTTCAAATTTAACTGACTCTCAAATTTAATGTTGAGGAAAAATAAATATTTTTTAATTGTTTTCCATCAAATTAAAATTTAAAATAAATGAGTTGGAAAATTGCATTCTTTTTAGAAAATCATCATTTAATAAAAAGTTGTTAGAAAATACCATAAATATAAAAATTTGGTTGGAAAATTACCAAGTTTGTTGGGAGTTATTATTTTATACCAAGTTTGCTAAAAATTTATCTTTTTATTAACAAAAATTAGTATTTTATTGTGAAGAAATTGTAAAGATTCACTTATAGAATCTTTAGAATATTATTAACAAACGAATCAAGTGATTACATAGAAACAGCATAAAGATTATTAACGAAAAAATTAAAATTATTAATGAAATTTAATAAAAACAAATATGGTATTGTTATAAAAATGTAAATGACAGAATATTTTAGAGATAAAACAGGGTCAGAGAACATGACATTTAAGATTTCCAAAGATTTGGTGATGTTTGGCTCTTAAGGAAAGTCTGGTTAACGACTTGAATGGAAGTTTTGCGTGATAATTTTGGCCATGGTTATGTGAGAAAATATAAATTTTTATATTATACTTCATAGATATGCATTAACGTTCAAATCAACAACGAACAAACTACATCGTAGATTAAAAGTTGGTTTATATCCATTGTTTCAATTTAGTGAAACATAGCTTACATTCCTTTAAAGGTATASTAATTTTACCTTGCGTCTTCTTCAATATCTAAATCGACACATATATAAATCGACACATACTCTCTTTTTCTACAAAACTAATGCCTCCAACTACTTTACTTAATGTTTCATTTGAATTAAAGATATATATCCATTTATAAGTTATCTTTACAGTGTTTTACTATAAAATTTTAAATATAAAAGATGACCTCACAAAGACAAGTTAATATCATATAATAATAAATATATATATAAATATATTTCAATAAGATATTGTGTTTCATATAAAAACTACAAATATTTCTCATTAAATGTCAAGTAATTCAACAAGAAGATAAATTGGACCACGTACTCTTACGTCTTTATGAAATGCCATGAACATTGACCAATATTACAAATTATCAAATTCCTTTTCTACTATAACCCTAACTCTAGTCACCATTTATACTTTTATCGCCGGAACGCTTCCTTCTCTGGCGCTGCATCCACCTCCCCTTTCGTCACTATTCCTTTCTCCTGTATGCACACCCAACACCAAAACCAGGTCCTCTCCTTCCAAAACTGAAAATGGTAAAACCATTGCCTCTCCTCCGACACAGCACCCATTTCTCCCTCCTTCTGCTCTTTTGACCAAATAAAAGGCACAAAAGATTGCAGCTTATTCCAACCAAACACCATGACTCGCTAAAGAACGACATGGATCATGGCTTTGAAGAAGAGGGGGAAATGACGGCCTGCACCTTCAGAGATGAGTTCTTGGGAAGATGGAGGTTGATGGAATGAGGCCTACCGGAGAAAAATGAGAAAGGGGGCGGCAGACGGTTTAACCCCACCACAGCCAATCGAGTCTTCACTAGTATTGGTTGTAGCCGAACCAGATAGAACTTCTTTTTAGTTGGCAACTCGAGGTCTGAGCCACCCACCATGGCTAGCTTCAACAATCAATAGCCCGACTAGGCTCTTTCACAAACAAAAAGCATAAAAGCCAAAATTCAGTATCAGACAAAGAAGTGTAATTGATGATGGTTGAGAACAAACAAATTATACCCGAAATGAAATGAACATTGACGAACTTATCGAGCATGTTGCCACCACCACCACGACTCTGAAGAAGAAAACATATATAGAAAATCGTGTTAACAAAAAGACAACAGCTTGATCCGATTAAACTAAAAAATTTATCTCCAAAATCGAGTCTTTAGATACATCAATAGAGAGAAAATGAATACAACAAAAAAATATCTCACAGCGATCCATGGGCGGTGTTGGGGCCATTAGAGGGTGTTGGATAATGGCGCTTCATATATTCCTCCTTGAGGACTGAAGACAGAGGACAGAGGACTTTGCCCAGTATTGGTTGGAAGATGTCTCGAACAATGGCGAATGATAACCTATTTATAGGCTAGATTTCGTGCTTCTAGAATCTAGGGTTTTGGAAGCCACTAGAGAGTCGGCCGGCAAAGGTATTATATTATTATAATATATTTTGATAATATGTAATATATATATATATATATATATATAATATGTAATATTTTTTATAATATACATATAATGTTTATATATTAGGGTCTTGAAAGGGGGAAAACAGTCGACTGCGGTTAATTGGTTTAAAGCAATAAGTGCATATTTTTCAATTACGGTAAATATATTTCTTATTTTAACTGTAATCGTTTGGACCAATTTGTATGTACCTCGATTAATATCAGAGTTTTGGAAAAGAGTTAGCAAAATCTTCAAATGGTTTTGTATCTTAAAGCAATAAATCAGTAAACTTTCAATTATCTATACTACATTATAAAGCAGATTTCTTAAAAGTCTTAAAAACAACTTAAACTGCATAAGATACAATCTTTTTAAGCATGAAGTCTTAAAATCTTAAAAACCAATTTAGTACTACTACTCTCAAGCACACATTGATAACCCAAGGCCCTCTCTCTCTCTCTCTCTCCCAAACGACGCTTCACGCTCACCTCATCATTCTTTTCCAAACGACGCTCCACCCTCACTTCCCTTTCCAACGCAACTCTGCCCTCCAAAGAACCG